GGGAAGCCTAGGGGACAGTGAGTTGAAGACAATGGTGATGGAATAATTTGGAAAAGGATAGTGAGAATAGCAGCACAACTGGAAGAATGTAATTGATGTTACTGAATTGTACATGTAGAAACTTTCAAAATGGTGTACCTTTGGCTATGTATATTTTCACCAAAAAAAGTCCTCAAGGTTGAGAAGGGAGATTGTTGACATGTTGTGGGGTTGTTAACCAATGTCCTAAAACAGTATGTGTACTGACTGTTTAATGAGAAACTATTTGTTCTGTAAACCTTCATCTAAAGTACAATAAAAAAAATCAAAAAAAAAAAAAAAAGGCAAACAGGAAGTATGGAAATGTGTGGGAAAACCATGAAGCTACACTGTGCAAGAACCTTCTGGTTTCCCCTTCTCAACCCTACAGCGAATGTTGCCCCATCCTACCAAAAGCTTGCTTCCCTTTCCATAAAAATCTAGCTAGCAAATAGAGGCCGGTAGTATTACAGAATAATCAGAGCCTGATAATCCAGATGAATCTGAGGCCACCATCCCCTGCCATGCAGAGGAATGGTACGGCCAGCTCTAGTGGCATTGCTGCTTTGAACTGCTAACATGATGCTAGACCAACGTATCACTTGTTTACCTGGTCCCTTTATGAGGAGAGAGACATTATCAGAAATCAGGGGGTCCAATCTATACCACCATGGATACTGGATACATACTGTAACAGGAGAAAAGAGTAGGTCCCTGCAGTAACTTCGAGGCAACCTCTGGTTCTAACCCTAGCTAACCAGAAGGCAATACTGGACCTCTCCGTAAGGAAGGAAGGTCAGAGGTCCTACAAACTATCAAGCAGAATGAGTGACTAAGAAAATAAATTAGCCATTGTCTAGTATTTGTCAATATCTTTTGCATGACCTCCAAGAGCTGATGGATACATAACTGGTAAATGAATGAATAAAGATTAATCATTTAATGATTTGTTTTCTGTGTCTGGAGGATTCCATAGCATATGTATAGCATTCCCAGTTTCCTTTCCTCTTACTATGCAAATAAATGAGAAGCTGGCAAAGGCTGGGATTCTTCCCAATTAGTTTTTAGGATGGAAGTAGCTACACTTCTGTGAGGCTGCCCCTATATAAAAGGGCTAGAATCTTTACTTTAAGTTAACCAGGTCTCCTATATGTCTTAACTTATTTCCCTAAAAAGAAACAGAACATAGTCATAGCAACTTGTAGGCCTGCAAAGCAAAACGAACAGCCTACAGGACTGAGGTCTGAACATCAGTTCGACTAATTTTACAACATTCAAAGCACTTTTTAACCAAAGAAATCTGGCAAGTGTCATATCATAGTGCAAGGTTCTTCACAAAGCTCATCAGGGTGTCTTCCCACCATTAAATAAGAGACAGAACAGACAATAAATGATAAAATCATAAATGGGACCATGCTTCATCCATCTTACTTTCAGTAAGGTCCTCTATCCCTGGAGTCTAATCATTCAAAACTCCAGGACAGAGACGAAAAAAGGCCTGCATTATGCACGTTAGTCATAAGGAAGCTGTTTCAGAACTTGATTGAATCTTTGTTCTATTTTTTTTTTAAATTACACCTTTCTGTGAATTCAAGGAATTTTAAGCATTTAAAGGCCAATCAGAATTCTAGACATTCAAACTGGAGAGCAATGCAATTGGTTAGGAAGAAGGCCCAATTCAACCTTATTCCAGACATCCAAACTCAAGTCAACAAAATCAGTGTGTGTACCTTGTCATGCTCCTGAACGATGCACGGTAACATAAGAGGCAGACATTATCGTTAAGACTGAATATGTTACTTTTTAGGCCCTGTCTTTTCTCTTGAAGATCTTAATGACTGGTAGACTGTAGTGCAAATATTTCTAAAGATGAGCTACTTAAAATAAGGGCATAATTTCTTATTTTACAGGGGAAAAGTCCATGGCTTTAAGATGATCTTTGTATCATGGGGGAAAAACAGACAGTGCAAAAAATGCTGGGTATTTTTTCTAATTTCCTTTCATTTACTTCTAAAAACCATTTATGTACTCTAATGATCCCTTTTAACTTGTGCCATTCTCCTATCTTAAAGTCTGAACTTCCAATTGCCCTTATTTCTGAAAAACTTTAATAAGATGCTACTTTTTGAAATAAAAGTATTCTTTAAGAGAATTCTGAAATAGGCAGGTTTAAGTTGTGTGTTTTCTTTTTTTTTTAAAGTGTATATGCATAACAAACCCAGTAACTGCATGAGACCAGTACAAACTAATATTTCCTTTAATTACCTCGATGGTACCAAACATAAGAAAAAATGATCTGGAAACGTTTTAAAAGCAGTAGTTAAAAAAACAAACCAACCTTAGAAAAGACATTATTTTGGGCTGAAAATGTTTTGGAGACATTGAAGAATTGAATAATAAGCAGTTATAATGCAATAGAAACCATCTCAAAGTCTATCAACACACAGTGAGTGTTGATGTTCACTGAAGGATCTTCAGTGATCTCTGAGCACTGTCTCCATTTCTTTATCTTTCCCCTGCTCTTCAATCCAATGCACCCTGGCTTTGGCACTGAACAGCTCACTGAAAGCTTCCGTCCTCATTAAGTCACCAGTGACCTCCAGTCAGTCTAGCACGTACTTGCTGGGCCTTGTCTCCAACTTCTAATATTACTTTTTTCCTCCCTCTCTGATTTTCTGAGACGTTCTCCAGCTAGCTCTTGCTTTCTTCCTTTCTTTTGTGGCCTTCTCAGTCTTAACCAGGGGCCAACAAACTGTTTCTGTAAAAGGCCAGATAGTAAATATTTCAGGCTTTGTAGGCTATCTGGTCTCTGTCGTAACTACTCAACTCTGCCCTTGTAGGGCAAAACCAGGTAGACAATGTGTAAATGAATGAATGTAGCTGTGTTCCAATAAAACGTTATTTATGGACACTGAAAGAGGAATTTCATATCATTTCTGCATGTCATGAAATCTTGTTCTTCTCTTGACTTTTTTCCAACCATTTAAAAATGTAAAAAATATTCTTAGCTCATAGGCAGTACAAAAACAGTAGGGAGAAAGATTTGGCCCATGGGCCATAGCTGCCAGCCCCTGCTGTTGACTATTCCCTTAATCAGAGTTGCAAAATGGCAGCTGAATTTGGCCAGGAGCAGTCTTTTAAAAAACCTGAATGTTTCCAGGTGGGGCATGCACGCTTCCCACACTTAGGTTACTTGAGTAACTTACTGCTCAGGCTTTCCTCTTCCATGCTCAGCCTTTTCCCTGCTCAGGCTTTAACTATCACTTTTGTGCAAATGTTTCCCAAATTAAAATCTCCAACCCAGATTTCTTTCACCCTTCCCTTCACTTTCAAACTTGTTCCCTAGCCCCTATCTATGTTTCCTAGCTCGAAGAATGAAGTCAGAAACCAGTCAGCTACTTAAGTCAGAGACCTGG